TTAGTAATAGTTTAAATTTATGTAATTTTACTCTTTCGTGGGGGGCGGAACCGCGCTTGAGCGAATTTTGACTGTTTGTACAGATAGAAAATATGACAACACGTAGCGTAAAATAAATGCGGCCTCCAGTTTTAAATACTTGCCAAATTTTTGCGGATTACCAAAACGTCGACAATCTTCAAAGAAGCTTAAGTCCCGACCTCGGAAGTTTCCAAATTTTAGTAAAACAAACAATTTTTTTAACCCTTACTCTTTCAAATTACACAAAACAGGTCTTTTGTGAAACACCGGATGACAAACATGGTGAAACATGATGCGACAAACAAAGATGCTGCATGGAGGTGTTATCTGCAGTCATTGCTGCTTCTGAAGTTTTAATGAGGCACTTGGAATTTATACCAATGGGTCTTAAAACGAAAAAAAATTGTGTCTCCTTGAAACGTTCCCTTCTTATTTGAAGGTATTTTGCTTGGAAAACATTTGCTGTTTGAATTTGATCTTTACAATCATGGCGTTGAAACATTAACGTTTTTAAAGCATTAACAATATAAATCTGTAAGAAATGTGTTTCCAGATCACGTTTAATGGACAATTGCTTTGGTATATTAGAACTCGTTACAAATTTTTTTTCTTGACACAAAAATAAAAAGGCAATCGGTGGTTATTTATTTTTCAAAACCCTTTAGCAACCTTATTTCCTTCTTTCGGAAATGGTAGACGAATCACTTTGACAAGTGTAATTATTGTAACTCACTGCTCACGGAAATCCCCTTCCACGTCAGTTCTTTAGCATTAGTTAAACTGACATTACTACTTTCAGAATACGTAGAGGTATTCATTTCAACGAGTCAGAAATTAATCTCTTTTAAAATCTTTAAGCTTTAACTGTACGTAGTAAGCAAGATCACTGAGTGAGAAATAGATTTCTCTAAAGACGGATCCCAACAAATTATAGGGGTATAATTATTGCATAAAATGGATGTCAGCTCAAGTTGAGCAAGCAGCAATCCAAACGAAAAAAAAAATTGAACAGAAAAAAACATCATTAAAAATTTATCAAGTTTAAGCAAAGAAATTCATGGCCATGACGGTGTTTGAATATTACCACATATTCGTACGATTCCATTTCTCCAGTTTCTCCTTAGTTTTAGTTCCGATTGAAAAGATATATCTAACAGTCGCGATGGTGTTTTACCACATTTCCAAACACCTCAAAGTTTCGTCAAAAAACTCCGCTACGGGTGGTTTTTCAACTCTCTTCTCGCTGATTGGCGTTTAGAAATGTGGTACTACACGGTCTCTGGCGTTTGACGTATTTTCGACTAAAATGGTTACCACGTGTTTTGCTTCGAAGTTCTAGCGTGGTGTGAACAAAACCGAAAAAGTTTCGACCAAGCAATTTATACCGAAGCAATAACAACATTAACAATGAAATAATAAGAACTAGTTAAATTGTGCACCATTCCACGGCAAGTTTTATTTGAGATAAGGCAACCGTATTTTGACAGGCACGGTTTTTCAAATTGTCCTGTTTTTGTCAACTTCCATGTTGTAATCTTTAGCATGGATAACATCTGCATACTCCTGTAGCATTGGCGGACTCAATATATCAAAACTCCATTGTGAAATTCGATGACCATGGCTCAAAAAAATATGATCCATCACTGTATTGGTAATCATGCTTATTTCAGGAACTGGTCTTGCAAAACGATGAATCATGTCTGRATAGCGATATGTATACGAGACGCGCTTCAGAAGCATACAAAGCCCTTCAGTTCGGTCACAAGTTCTTTGCGGACATCGGAAAGTGACTGGTAGTTGAAGAACATTTGCCAATAATGTTATGTCCTGTTTTCGCACTCTGAACTCCGCTAAACACTCTGATTCATCATCTGGTCGTAATCAAACTTTGGGTAGGAGCTGTAAGGGAATTCTGGATTCTTGGAACTGTAACTTTCGTACAAGGTCAAAAATTCTTCGTCATAGATGCTTTTACTGTTGTACAAAAAAAGAGGCAGGTTTTTCATTTCACTGAGGGATGACATTCTCTCAAACAGCTTATTTTAAAAGCGAACAAAGTTTGCTACCGACGTCGCTGCTACAAAACTCGTCTAGCTGCTTAACGTTTATATTTTGGCGGGAACGACGTTGTTCTCTTCCCAGGCTCTTTCGGTCGCTGAAGTTGCTGTTGCCTTTAAAACGACTCGTGCTTAAGTTCCCTAGTCACTCGAGGAGAGAGGCGACGTCTCTCTCCTCGAGTGACTTAGCGAGCGGAGGAGGCGGCTGAAATTCAGGCTACTCCGAATAGGGTTAATACAGGGTTCAATAACATTAAACGTGAGTTTAAAATGAAAACACCTTTTTTGAGTTAGAATAGGTTTAAATTTGAATTAAATGTGAACTACTGACTAGATAGTGTTTTAGTGAGCCACCCTTAGGTTATTTTCAATTACTTAAATCTATTAAATTAAGTGTTAGGTCCATTTTTCGTCAACTTAAATCACCGAATACAATTAAAGTTTTAATGCTAACTGGAGGCCACCATATATATTTCAAAAAGTCTACCGAACGATATTTGATCTAGTTTATGCCACTTTCAATATCACATTCACTATTTTGATAGATTTAAGTTGAGAAAAAGAAAAGCAAAAAAGATAAGGACAAAAGGCGCTTTCCATTCGACATAAAATTCCAGCCATGATTTCCAGAAATTTCCATTGGAGAATGGAACGCCAATTTCCCTTTACACAAATTTTCGAGAATTTCTTACCGGGAAGTTCCTTTCCATTTGACTTTCCTATCGACCTTTCCAGAATTTTCAGTTGAATGGTTCGATCTCATTTAGGAATTTTAAAAGTTTCCGAAAACTTGTCCAGGAAACTGTATATCATCTGCCCCCGTTTAGAAAGCTCCGGATTATCTGGTTGAATGGAAAGCACCCAAAGTCTTCATCCTTGAACTTAAGGCTTAACAGATTCTTTAAGCGTGTTAAGGTATTTGTACTTCATGTAAATACTGTGCGAATGCACGTATGTGAACACGGACGTGACTTAAATCTCTAGTCGAATTGAATTTCATTTTAAAATTTTTAGGTACCACGGGAAGAAAAGAGAATTTCCAAGTTCATCTAAATATTGGATTTCCCAATGTAGACTATGTATGGAAATTGTCCCTAGTTACCTAAAGAATTATCTATGTACACGTACCTAAATCTCTCATGGTAGTCATTGTCAATTAGGATGGAGTAACATATCTTGCACATATAAACCTCTTCCGATGATAATGATGTTGATATCTGGCTCGAGAACTGATTGGTAGCTTAGATGAAAAACTGTATTCTATTGTAAGAGAAGATCACATACACATCGGAAATGGTTACAAATAACCAAAAGGACGCATGATTTTGAGACCGTCAGAAGATTTCCCTGCCATGATATGATAGGACGAGGTCATTATCCTTAAAACGGGCCAGACATTTGGCCGTTAGACGTAAGAATTGGAACATTTTAACCGTTAGCCGTAAACAAATGTTCATCGTAAAAAAAGACAGTTCTACTCTTCCCATTTTTACTCTTAGGCAGTAGTCACATGCGCCTGTATGACGCCTATTTTAGTTGAATGTAAGAAAAATACAAAATATCAACCGTTCGCCGTAAAAGCCATTACTTCATTGAGACCCTCGGATAGTGCTAATAAATTGAGTCGCACGTTATTCAAGGTGTGATTTCGAATATGCAATTTGGATAAAGAGAGAATACCCAGCTATTTTTTCTAAAGGAAGTTTGCCTGACTGTCTTTTTTTTTTTCATCTCACATTGTACTTGATGTCATGTTTTCAGCGGTATTAGCTGTGTTAATCTCCCCTGTAAATTTCGACGGCGTAACACTTTTACTGTATCTACTTATTCCCACTGCTGTAACGTTTTCGTCGCTATTTGCCAAGTGCCAAGTTATTCTTCTTCGAATCGCAAAAATACCTTGACGAATTTGTCGATTCTTCCAAAAGCAGAGGAAGGGATTTGTGCAGGAGTTCAGAAAAGCAAGAGTTTCTGTCCAGCTGTAGTGGTTATAAGTCTTGATGTTCTGCTCCAGAATCTGGTGATAAAGGCTTACCCACAAGACAGGAAAGTTGAGCAACAAGTAAACTCCAACGATAAATAAGATATTTCTTGTTAGCCTCAACTCTCTTCGTCTTCGGATGTTTTCGAAAATTGTGCTGTGGCAATGTAATTGACGATGATGTCGTCGCAGAATCAAACTGATTCCAATGCTTGCAACTACGGAAACCAGAAGACAGAGAAACCACAAGATCAAATGAATGCCTCTTGATATTTGGTTTATTCCTACCCACTGCAAACTTGTTAATGCAATGTTCAGGACCCAAATAGCGGCCATAGATTTAAGAACACGATTTCCCGAAAAAACGTTATTGTACCTCGCCCGAAGTCGAACTGCTACTAAACGTTCGTAGGAAACGGCACTTAGAGTCATGAAAGAAACCCCGCAACAAATGTAAAACGCATTGGAATACATGACTCTTACGAAGCAAGGGACCGAACGATGCTGGTTTTCCATGAGTCTAAAACAAATGTAACCTGGTTGAACTGTTAGGCCAACAAGCACATCTGAGAGTGCGACACATCCTATTAAGAGATTTGAAGGCGTTCGTAGACGAGAACTGGTAAAGATGGCAACGACGATTAAAGAATTGGATATCACGGCCAAAGGAGAGGCAATAATGTTGATGATGGCAGTCACAAGGTTTACGACAAAGCGTTGTGAAGCTCCGTCGAAATTGGGATCCAGCAAATGAAAACATCTTGCGACAGGTAGAAAGTCCTGAGCTGGTGTTTCATTAGCCATAAATGAAGAAGAATTTTCGCTTTGTCGCCTTTCTGTACTGTAGATGTAAACACAGTATTTGTTCTCGGTTCTGGCAGTTTAGAAAATCTTGGCTTTGAACTCTCCACGTTCAATGTCTTGCTTGCTTTCTGATTTCAAAATATTGAAAATATCTGCGTTTAACTTTGAGTTGTACATCGTAATAACATAATTCTGGGCTGAAACTTGTGACTGCGAAAACAATATTGGAAACATTCCATATCTTGTTTACGGAGAGGTATTACGGTGGATCAACTGCACCGCCTATGAGATGCCTTTTGGCAATCACTGAAACATTATTGTGCCACGCTTCACAATAGTGGTTATATTATAGTTAAACAAACGGACGGGTATTGTCAGACCAAATCATTTCGAGCAAAGAGGATATGTACTTTTGCAAACACGGTAATATTAACCGGGTATTGCGCCTTTTCAGATATGATAGATGTAATTGCCTAACGATCATTATCCCCAAACTTAATTAGTCACAGAGCACATTTCAATTTTCTCTGTTTGTTCTTATGATGTAGTGAAAGCTCCCTTAGAACCTTTTTTTTCTTTTGCAAAAGGAAACCTGAATAAATAAATAAAATAATAAAATAATAAACAAATCTTTTTTTCAATTGCAAAAAAAAATTGGCAAAGCTATTCCAGTTACCGGATGTAAATTTCGGCGAACGTTTAGCACATTTGACAAAGAACCTTGTAACATCATTATCAACGTGCATAAGTTCCCTCATATTAATCCATGTTGCTATTTTTACCAGTTCTCGCCTACGTTCTACGCCTACTCGGGTTGGTGAGGCCGATTAGGCTTTTAGGAATAGAGTGTGCTAATTTGCCTTAAAGTAAATACATGCACTAGACAAGTAAAATTCAGAAGAAAAAGAGTGAGAAAAAGGACAAATTGGACTAAATTGCAAGGTAGAAATATATCGGTGAATCTAACATTAATGTATATAATAACTACTAAAACCTAAGGTTGCATGCGGACGACTCTGTAAAAATGATGACATTTTGTTCAAGGACCTTAAGGTGTCAGAAATTTTGTTCAAATACGGGCGCTGAGTATTTTGCTGATGCCTTCAAATTTCATCATCGGATGTTTAACGCTCTCTGACGTCTTTGTTGTTCAAGTAACAGCTCAACTAGCAAGTAAGTCAGGTAACGGCCTTAAACTTATTTACAAGAGTTACCATTTCTAATGACTTTTATCTGTTATTGACTAAAAGGTAGTAGAGCTCAGCAAGTAATGAATGCTACCAATTAAAAGTATCACAAGATCTTCAGCAGAATTAATCCTTATTGGAAAAATGACAAACAGTACTGTCCGTTTTGTCTCTGTTCAAAAGAAGTATATGAATATGTAAAGACGCAGCTTCCCAAAGAGTAATCTTGCCTTCACCTAATTCCGTGCACAATCTTTTCTGCTTCTTAATCTAAAACTCCTGCTTTGAAAACATTTGCGTTTTATTTTTAGCTTTCCTACGTAGATAATGTTTGCCTTGGCTTCAAGCAATAACCTTTATTAAGAGACTTTAAATCAATACATCGGAAAAGTGTCATATCGAGTTTTTACATGTATCAACCGGTAATTGCGTGATCAAAACTTAACGGTTGTGATTCACATACTCGTTTCACGAGAACAAACCAGAGTCGTTGCAGGTTTCACGCGAAAAATAAGATCGCTGTTTAAATGCGCAACCTTCAACATCGATCTGAATTTAGTCAGTTTTCTCAGAAAAACTCCCATTTAATTTACGATCCACGAAAATGCAACTAAGTAACCACGTTGGAACGGAGTTCATTTGTGTCGTAAAGCCAAAACCAAAGTAATCTCTCCAGCCATAGTTGAGCATGCAGGCAATCCAATCAACCAATCGAAACTGGCACTATGTGCGTGTACATGAGGCGAAGCGTGGGAGCGAGCTTCGATTGTTTTTCATTATACTTCTGAGTGGATGTACTGTACATGACGTACTTTTCGAGACTCAAATAAAAACTGCTGTAACCGTACCGCTGCAGTCAATCATTTTTATAATGTCAGATGTATTTACCTTACCCAGTGCAATTGGTTAATCCCAAAATAAACTGCTCGTATTCCTTCAAGACTATCATTTGAAACGTTTAACTGTTGATCGAACTGCATCTGCAAACCGCCCAAGTTAAATCAACTTTCCTTTAACGTTGAGTTGTTCAAAAAGGGATTCTCAAGTTGTAACGGTTTTAATTAATCCTTACTCCAATTAGTGGTCACTTCAAGAGTAAGTCAAGAGAGCAAGACAGTTCTTTTTAATTATTTCGAAACTTAGGAATAAGACATCGACAAACACGACCTGCTGCCACACGTGACGAGTTTTCATCTTCTTTGTCAAGATGGAGCGGTAGTCATCATCATCACCATCAGTCCTCATCACGCCATCGGACGCATAAGGCCTTTAGAGTGGTAGTAAATGCACTTTTTTCGCGCCTTTACTCAACGTGAACCTTGGCTTGTACGTACATGTTGCACTGTTTAATGAAAACTCTGTCAGTCAATAATTATATCCCCACCAAATAGTGAATTAGACTTTACTGGAGGTCTTACAATTCCCGTCAACGTGATCTATTTTGGCGCTGGTAGGGAGTTTTAGTAACCACGACGCGACGTCGAATGAATTTTTATTTTAATGCAAGACATATAGTATCTATCTATACGTCCTTACTAATGATTTATTTGGGGCTGTAACTCGATTCTCTTAAAATGTGTCATTCGGTCCAAATTTCGAACTCTGTGATGTATGCAGTTTTCGTCAAATTAGGTGAGGTAACCTTTTTTTGCATTGTTCTGTCGGAAATGGGAGTTTGTCTGCATGCACATCAAAGATTCTATTACGGCCTTAAGTCACCTCCCCTGTCATATAGTAAATTGACTTCTTCCGTTGTTATTTTTTCATCGAAAGGCTGGAAATCGAGCCATCCAGGTCAGTCATCCGAAATAAAATCGCCGTACAAGGGTACACAATTTAACCGGTTCTTATTTGTTGTTATTGTTATTGCTCCGGTGTAAAGTGCTTTGTGGAAACTTTTGTAGCCTGTTCTCATCACCCAAGCATTTCGCAGCATAACACGTGATAAGCATTTTAGTGGAAGATACGCCAAACGCAAAATAACGTATTCTACCACGTTTCCAAACACCAAGCATCGAGAAGAGTGTTGGAAATATGACCCGTAGCGGAGTATTTCTGACGAACTTCGAGGTGTTTAATTTGGGAATGCGATGAAACACTGCCTCGAGTGTTGTTGATATTATCTTCTCAATCAAAACTAAAACTAAGGAGAAACTGGAGAAATGGAATCGTAACAATGTGTAGTAATTTGGATTAGATATCTAAACAAAGCCATGGCCATGAATTCCTTGTTTAACTGACTTGAATTATTAATGCTTTTTTTTAATCTGTGCCATTTTTTTCCCTTGGGTTGCTGCTTGCGCTGCTTGCGCTGGAAGGAGATTGTCTTGCTTCCATACTGAGTATATATTTGCTATTGAAGGAGATTGTCGACTCGCAGAGGCGATCTGATCTCCAAATTGCTGGATACGAGTCATAAACAGCCCATTAATAGCGTCGCTCTTATTCCTCGTTTCTCTTAAGATAACTGTAAAAAAGGAGTTCGATAGACTGGTAAAAATTATTTTTGTCTCGTCAAAGTACTCAAAGTTGTTTGCTTTGCTAAAATTTTGAAACCTCCGGGGTAGAACTTGAGCTTTTTTGAAGATTGTCGAAATTTTGGCAATTCGCAAAAATTTGGCAAGTATTTAAAACTGTCGGTCGTGCTTATTTTACGTTAGGTGTTGTCAGATTTTTCCCTTGAACAAACAAAATTCGCTCTAGCGCAATCCGCCCCACACGAAAGAGTAAAAATTAAGTAAAATTAAAAAAAAGTAAATAAACTTCAAATTTAAACTATAGGTAAACAGTCAAATCGGAACATGAGATGAAGCCACGCAGAGAGCAGTTCACAATGGCATTTATTTCATCTTGACAAGAGTGTCACATCCACTGCGGCGGTGCAAGCCGGATGCGATGATATTTTTTTTTTCCATTTTTTGCGATGATCAAATTAAAAACAGTTATCTGATTTTTCAATAGAAAAAAAAAAGCTTTTTCCGGACTTTTGCCACTAATTGTACCCTTATAATTCATTGGGGTCCGCCTTTTGGAAAACGCAGCGAGATATATTTCTCACCGAGTGTGCTTGCTTGCTACAGTTTAAAGCTTAACTGTCAGTTTAATACTAAAGAAGATGCACATGTCGAAGAGAATTTCCGTGAGCCGTGAGTAACAAAGATCACACTTGTCAAAGTGACACATCTACCATTTCCGAAAGAAGGAAATAAGGTTGCTAAAGGGTTTTGAAAAAGAAATAACCACTGATCGCCTTTTTGTGTCTCAGTTAAGAGAAAAATAGTAACAAGTTCTGATTCACCATTATAGTTATCCATGAAACGTGATCTGGAAACACATATCCTACTGATGTATATTGTTAATGCTTCAGAAAGGTCAATTGTTCAACGCCAATGTTGTAAGGATCAAATTTAAATAGCAGATGTTTTCCAAGCAAAACACTTTGAAATAAGAAGGGAAGGTTTCAGTGACAGACTTATTTTGCCTCAAGACCCAATGGTATAAATTCCAAGTGCCACATTATATAAACTGTAGAGGAAGCAATGGCTGCAGATAACACCTCCATGCAGGATCGTTTGTTTGTCACATCATGTTTCCATTTGCCGGATCCCGATTTCGACAAAGTTTCAGAACGTCTCACCATGAACCTTGTAACCGCTATCATCAACATTATTGCCTCTCCTTTCGCAGTGATATCCAATTCTTTAATTGTCTTTGCCATCTTCACCACTTCTCGTCTACGAACGCCCTCAAACCTTTTCATCGGATGCCTTGCTCTCTCAGATGTCTTTGTGGGCCTGGCAGTCCAACCATCTTACATTTGCTTTAGGCTCATGGAAAACCAGCATCGTTCGGTCCCTTGCTTTGTAAGAGTTATATATTCTAATTCTTTCTTTGTTTGTTGTGGAGTGTCCTTCATGACTCTAAGCGCTGTGACTTACGAGCGTTTTGTGGCCGTTCGACTTCGAACGAGGTATAACGACGTGTTTACAGGAAAACGCGTTCTTAAGTTTATGGCAGCCATTTGGATCCTGAATATCTTATTAACAAGTCTGCAGTGGGCAGGAATAAACCAAATCTCAAGAGAGATTCATTTCGTCTTGTGGCTTCTCTGTCTTCTTGTTTCCGTGGTTGCAAGCATTGGAATCAGTTTGATTCTGCGTCGACATCATCGTCAATTACACTGCCACAGCACAATTTTCGAAAATATCCGAAAACAAAGAGAATTGAACCGAACAAGAAATATCTCATTTATCGTTGGGGTTTACTTGTTGCTTAACATGCCTCTTTTGTTCATAAAACTGTATCGCCATATTTTGAAACAGGACATCAAGACTTATAACCATTACAGCTGGACAGAAACTCTTGCTTTTCTTAATTCATGTACGAATCCGTTTCTCTGTTACTGGAAGGGCCGTCGAATTCGACAAGCAGTTATAGCGATACCAGAGAGAATTAGCCGTCACTTGTTGATTAGCAATGAAAGAATGCATAGTACTAAATGCAACAGTAATAGCGCCAGGCATATGGTGAATACAGAGGAGGTGACAGTGGCTGTGCGATCAATGTAAATGCAACAAGCAAAAGATTCCGGGCGCTTATATCGACAATCTTCGATTTGAAAAAAAAAAAAAAATCAGCAACATCAAAACGCTCCAAAAAAGCTCGAAAACTGAAAATGTGATTCAAAAATTCAAATTGTAAATTTGAGATTCTCTGCTCTTTGAAGTATGGTTGCCATGGAAAAACACAATTGTCAAACAATTGATACT